CGATATGGCGTGAATGCCTCCTCTGTGAGTCAGGCCAAGGATCTGCCAGTGGCCCCACTTTCGCAAACTCAATAGGCACCGCTCAGCCACGTTTTAAGGCACCCTAATGTACCGTGGCTGGACCACAAAGGCAGCGTGGTAATTTGCCAGGGATAATGACGCTCCCTTAATTCGTCCCTGGGGGCCACAAACAGAATACTTTAAAGAGCATCCCCATCCAGGGATGAGACCCATGTCTTCCCACCCCCATTTTTTTTTCTAGGCCTCTCTCTCCCTCTCAGTCCAGCCCTTCCATCTCTTATTGGCCTGAAAGGAGCTTGTTTTCTTCCGGCTTATTGTTATCCTGAACTAAATATCAGCAAACAACAGCGGGGCTGGAGGAGACATCATGCCAACCACGATTGGAGCCCCTGATCTCCTCCCAGAGGGGCAGAGAGAACCAATACAAACGCGGTGGAGCTTCTTCAAAGCAGCCAGAGAGGGAGCACTGCTACTCTACTCCAATGACACATATTAGGGGGAGATATTTAGGCCACAAATTGAATTGAATAGAGAAAGTGAGCTGAATGCATGCGCTGAGCAAGGGGAGTGGAGCAATAGAAAATAAGCAAATTCCAGGGATGGCCTTCAGGGATATTAAATACAGAGAAAGAAGTGGTTGAGATTGGAGCAAGAGCAGTCTCTACTAATTTTAGGAGAAATTGGGCAGAAGATAAAAAGGGCTTGAAATCAAAACCAAGATGATAGATACACTTGAGACTGAATAAAGTCACAGAAAGCAAAAATTGAGTGGCATCACTTCTTTACGTTTTAATAAAAAGTATCCAAACAGCCTTCATATTTCACTAATTCTGATCTAGTTAGAGTTATTTAAATACTTTGTGCAGTGTGAACAAATACACAAGGTTAGATTTGCAATGCAATGAAAAGTGCTTTTATATATATATATATATATATATATATATAGGTCCAGTTGAGTGAAGGTTAAGTCAATAAAGTTGCTACATTACAAATAACCCTATTATATATTTTATGAGAATAAATAAAAAAATCAATGATGCATAAATTCTGATTTTAGGAGTACAACATTTTTGCTCAGTCGCTCAGTAAACAAGGTCATTTTCTCCGAGGGGATGCCAAACGTTTGACTTTCAGCTCCTCAGTTTGACTTTCTGTTATCCAAGACGTTTTTTTGAACTGTTTACGTAACAATAAGATCTAGTTTACATAGCTGAATGAGCACTGGGACAGCAAAGAATATGATATCCAGGCAAAAACAATCTCACAAATAGGGATAGATTTTTATTAGATGTTGTTTCCTTCACTTTGCTCTCCTCCACATTTTCACAGATTTGATAAATGACTAAAAGACCTTCTAAAAACTTTTTTATGTCACTCTGGCTCATGTTCAGCTTCAGTGAATATGTGTGTGAAGGTATTTGAGACAAGTTAAATGAAAGTTTGAGCTCACTCTGCGTGCCACTGTGT